ATGTCTTTGATTGCCTACCCTGCTCTGAAGCAAAGTTGAGACGAGTAAGATACGGGGGTTTTTATTGCCCTTCAGATATGTTACTGGAATGTGGTGGAGGTTTTCCAGAACTGCTCTTGCACATATTTAGGCTTGAGCCCAAGCTGAGTGAGCGGTGGCCTGCTGCTGAAGTGTATGACATCTTCTTCAAAGACACTGTGTTCTGCTGCGTTTTTCTTGATATCAGGCTGGTACAGTGTGTACAGAGGCTGTTCCACTGCAGCCTTTGTGTGCTTCTTGACCTGAAGAAACTGTTTACTGGTAACAAAAACCCACCATCCTGCTCAAGAGAAAAGAAGATGGACTGTAACGTTAGATTTAATCTTTTCATTGCAGTAGAAATCCAAATGTTAAATATATCTCTTCCCTCCAGATGAACTGAAAAGAGGATGTATATTGCAGTTTCCAAAGGCAGATCTTTAAGCTGCTCACCAGCAACTTATCTGTGGCACTTGCAAAAAAATCAGATGCTTACTCAGAGCAGGGAAGAAAAAAATCTGAACAAATAATGACAAGTTTTCCCATTCCCACACTAATCTTTTAGATTTTGATAAATTGAGATGATAGGAAGAGTAATGTTACATTCCCGTGGGAAAGAGCATAATTTAATTTTTCTGAAATATAAAATTACTTTTCTACAGTAAATTAGCCATCTTACCTTGTGGTGGACTCTGTTAATTAGAATTCATTAGGAAACTTAGGTTAATTTATAGGTAAAAAATCATAATTGCTTACGGGTTTTTGGCGAGGAACAGTTGACTGACTCCAGCATGGATGTACAGCATACCCAAATGCTTCTCTGTCTTTCGAACACGGTGATCTCTTACCTTGTCCGTGTCTGGCATTGCTGTGCTTTGTGAACCAGGCCACACAAAATTAAGTTTTGTCCCAAAATAGATGAGACTGCAAAAATACTTCAGGAAATGTTATTTAGTTGAATAATGCAGTTTTTACATATTTCTATCAAGAGTGTTTTGCTTCAACATTTGAGAAGATGCCATCTGTTGCTTATAGTTAATTTTGGAACAGGTACCTGTGTACGCAGCTTCTAGAATTATTTTCTGTGAGTTTTGGGTTTTCCAGATCTCAGTTAAATGTTCATTTTTCGGCATTCAGGCTACGGCTGCTGTGTGTTTCCAGACCGTTCGGCAGGAAGCACAGCAGTGGTCATCAGCTTCTGTGTTTATCGGAATTGATGCAATGTCCAGGGGAATGCACTTGAAAAACAAGATGGAATGTAGTAAAAACAACAATTAATCTGAAAGTTACTCTATTTATTTGGTTTGCCTGCTATCAGCTCTCAGAAGGCTGTTTCTCATCTCCTTCCTATTTGCATTTTATTCAACTGGAGAGAGCTTGAAATTCAGTGATGGAGGTTTTTCAGGCCCATCTTAGTAGAATAAATGGTACTGCTACTGGCAATGACTAGTTTTGAAGAGGTGGTAAGGTAAAGAGGAAAACAGAAACACCTTATTGTATTTTAAAAGGGCTTACCTATAGATCTTTTCGACTGCAAACCGCTTTCAAAGATCAATAATGCAGTTTTTCCTTTTAATAGGATGGGTTTCCCACATCTTTGTTTATCTATCCCCTTTATGCTACAACATGTGAAGAATACTGCACTGTCATCAAAAGTGTTCTGAGTGCACACCGTCACCTTCCATATGAACAGCAATGGGCTAAATCCACATTTTTTATTATTGTTGGTTTTGAACATGGCTGATATTGTCAGGAGGCATTCTACAGGGTTTTGGGTTTTTTTTGCTGTGTTTTTCTATTAATGTCCTACTCCACTCAGTTTACTTTTGCGGTGATTTTTCTTGTTTGAGTGGAGTCTTGCACTGCTGAGGCACGGGAGGAATGCCAGGTGGCCTCAGCAGTAACACCGCTTCACTTGCCTCCTGGACAGTCCTCAGACTGTAATGGTGGAAATGTCTGCTCTGCAAACTCCTCATGACTTTCTTAGGCCTCCCACAGAAATTGCGATAGCAATTTTCACCCTAAGGGCAAGAATAGAGAGTCCTTTGGCTGCTGAGTGTGTGGAGAGTAGCACTGACTTTTCCCGTTGGCATCCTGTGAATCATCAGGACCATCAAGATCCGCTTGGATAGTGAGGTAATTATGGAAACCTGATGCAGCCTGTGTTTGTTATTGAGGACTTGGAT